CGGCGGCAATTTCTCGCACTTGATCTGTCAAGTTCTTGGCCATAATGTTGACGTTCTCCGTAAGCTCTTTCCAGATACCATGGACGCCAGTGATCTGGGCCTGTCCACCGAGTATTCCTTCAGTACCGACTTCGCGTGCGACACGAGAGACTTCGCTACCGAAGACTTGAAGTTGATCCATCATAGTGTTAATTGTTCGTTTGAAGGTGGCGATTTCGGGGTCCATTTCCAGCGGGTGAATTTGGACCTTCATGGACAGGTCACCGTTGGCGACTTGAGTGATGATGCCACCGATTTCACGCAAAGCTTTCTGGAAGGCCTCGTTGGCCTGCTGATGCTTGCGCAACTCGCGTTCGAGCAGAACGACGTCTTCATTTTCGACCTTGGTAAGAGCACGGCGGGTGTGCTCTTCCTGTTTTTGCAGTTCGTCGCGAACCTGGGCGATAATATCCTTTTGACTGCTTATCTCCTCGGCCTGCTTTTGCACATGGTTGCGGAGGAAGCTAATATCCTCCTCCCGCACGACACGGGTGCCGTTATCATCTTCTTCGTCGGATTCGTCGTCAATTTCTCCCAGGGGTGGTTCGTCGGCCGCGGGAACCGGTATCGTTTTTTGCTGCTGTGACAGAGAGTCAGAATCTTGACTGGACGACAAGCGAGAGAGCCCAAATGTCCTCAAGAAATTCCTCTCGCTGGTTTCTTCAGCAGACGGGGTGGTCTGGTGGGGGTCCGCCTGCTGTTGGAAATTGTGGTGACTGACAGCTTGGAATTCCAGATGGTGCACGCGGCGCACCAGGGCCTCAAGCTCGGCCTCGAAGGCTGCCTTGGTGGGACTGTTCTCTCCGGGAAGTTTGGCCAACTTGATACCGTTGGATAGTTGAAAATCAAATGGGGGCGAAGAGGAACCGGGGATAGATTCGTCTCTTGCCAAGTTCTGCAGCAAGGCAGTCGCAGCCGCGAGAGTCTCGTCCGCGCTAGCCATTGTGGCCTACATAAATTAGTTCATACTAACATTAAAAACACATATATAGCCTGAGGATTATGAAGATGGGTAGAATTTGGAGATACTCAGGATCACTCACTGGCAAGTCTGGATCCTGACAGGATGGCAGAGATAAAGTCTAATTAAGGCGACATAAGGAAATCCAAAATCCAAATAAAAAGACAACAAATACCCGAATCAACCGGGGATAAATATGAAAGGGAATATGGAGGTTCGGGAAGGGGGAAAATAGGTGGATAAGCCCTGGAGAACGCGCCCGGTTATGTAAGCCACTATGGTTCTGCGGGGATCGACTCGAAAACCCGACAAAAGCTGGATAGTAAAAGGTTAAAAAAAAAAATTTAAAAAAAGGAGGTTCTTGGAGAGAGAAATCGGGAATTTGGAAGGGGGAGGGGGAAAGAGATTTTGAAAGGGGCGGTGATATGCCGCCTCGTTTTTTTTTTTTTTTTTTTTTTTATGTCTTAGGTTGAACTTATAAATCGCCTCTGAACAGAAAAAAAATAAGAGAAAATAAATGAGTAAAAATAGGTTGGAAAAAATGGGGTTTTCTGCACATTTACAGAATGCCCAGGTGACTGCAAAAGACGCACAGACTCGATCTATTATAGTTTGGGAATATATGCCTGCATAGATACCTGAGGTACGAAGTATACTATAGCCTACTAAAGATGAATGTATACCATCGTAACTTTTGGAAGGTATATTCCGTGTGGAATACCACAAATCTGTTTCATATGAAGTGATCGACTCTGGGGCTGTCGATCAGGTGGCACCGGTTCGTTTTGACTTCTCAATACGGAGTAGTCTAAATTCATATCCTTTGAATGAATATCCCCTAATCATCAGGGGGGAAGGGACAGAGTTTGTGAATAATTGGTTGGGACCCAGTCGAGTTTCATTTGAGCCTATAAGAAATCAACGAGAATGTTTCTTAGGGTCTGCCGCGGGCCTGCCATAGATCCATAGTTTGATTTTCACGTTTGTGTCTTTTTTGGTGGCTGAGCCGTCGGGCTTACTCTCGATCTCCAGGGCTAGTTTAGTAACGTCTATTGGTCATGCAAGGACCTCGTGTGAAAATATGAAGATGTTCGACTTTCGATGGTACCTGAATTATTATTATTGACTTAAAAGTATGCTTGAATATATATACATATACATATATATATATGTATATGTATATAAAAAAATTTAAATGTCTGCAATGGGTAGTATTTTGTAGTAGATGAAATGAAGTTTACGAGGGGAAAAATATACCTACAATAATATACAATGCCATACCTGTAATCATGTGTCCTCTAGCCTTCAATTTTAGAATAACATAGGCAACAAGGCAACTGGTCAACAGTCAATCAAATGGCGGGGTGAAACGGCAGAAGTGGTCGGTGTGCCTTGCCGTATTATCTTTTGGGAATCCCGCAGAGTCATAATTCTGCGGAATATTGCCCGATCAAAAGAACGCCCTTCAAAACACCCGTCAAAAATTGTCTCTGCAGGAGAAGGCTGCAGCCATGGCGTCCGACATGACAAACCAGATTTTGGGCGCCCTGTCCGCGTCCGATGCGCCCATCTTCTCCAGCGAAGCCTTCCCTCCACCCCCTCATTGAACGTTAAGAGTGCGCTCGACCGCCTTGATTCGCGACAGATGGTCAAATATGAGACCCTAGAGAAGGAGATCGTTACCCTCACTGCTGAGGGCCAGGAGATTGCCGCCAATGGCAGTCATGAGGCCAAGGTCTTCGCCGTGGTGCTTGCTGCCATGGACGGATTGAAGATCTCCGACTTGCCAGGAATTGTGGGCAAGGAAAACGCCAAAGTTGGCCAAGGAAACGCCTTCAAGCGTGGGTGGATTAAGAAGGATAAGGATTTGTTGCGGGCATCCGCGGACTCAATTGTCGACGAGACGCAACAACAGTTGCTCGAGGTTCAAAAAACAAAGTCCCTGGACGATAAAAAGGTCATGCTTGACCTTAAGCGGAGAAAGTTGGTTGGTCTGGCAAAGGAGATTTCTTTCAAGATCAGCAAGGGTCCCAAGTACGCCCCAGATTTCGTCAAGGAGCAGACCGACCTCACCCCGGAGATGATCGCCAGTGGCTCGTGGAAGACGGCGCATCTCAAGCCCTACAACTTTAATGCTAAGGGTGCCCCGACTCCTTCCGGTACTCTCCACCCGCTGAACAAGGTCCGCCAAGAGTTCCGCAATATCTTCTTCGATATGGGCTTCGAGGAGATGCCGACCAACCGCTTCGTCGAGACCGGCTTCTGGAACTTCGATGCTCTGTTCGTGCCCCAGCAACATCCCGCCCGTGATCTCCAGGATACCTTCTATATCTCCGACCCTGCCGTGGCAGACCCTCCTCGCGAGGATCCCCCCAACGACCCCCACGTCCCAGCCCAAAAGAAGTCCGAGAAGCCGCTTGACTACCAAAAGTACTGGGACAACGTCCGTGAGGTCCACGAACACGGAAAGTTCGGCTCCATCGGCTACCGTTACCCCTGGAGTGCGGATGAGTCGCTCCGCCTGGTGCTCCGCACCCACACCACCTCCATCTCGACCTACATGCTGCACAAGCTGGCCGCCAACCCCCGGCCGGCTCGCTTCTTCAGTATCGATCGTGTCTTCCGAAATGAGTCCGTCGATGCTACCCACCTGGCAGAGTTCCACCAGGTCGAGGGTGTCATTGCCGACTTCGGTCTGACCCTTGGTGGTCTGATTGGATTCATGGAGGTCTTCTTCGCCAAGATGGGCATCCACAAGCTGCGCTTCAAGCCCGCCTACAACCCCTACACTGAGCCCAGTATGGAGATCTTCGGTTACCACGATGGTCTAGGCAAGTGGGTTGAGATCGGTAACAGTGGCATGTTCCGCCCAGAGATGCTGGAGGCTATGGGTCTGCCTAAGGACTTGCGAGTCTACGGATGGGGATTGAGTCTGGAGAGACCTACTATGATCAAGTATGTTGCATCAGCTACCATTCATTTCCATTTACTAATACATCTATTAGGTACGCCGTCAGCAACATCCGTGAACTCCTCGGTCACAAGGTCGATTTGAACTTCATTGAGACCAACCCGGCCGTCCGTCTCGATAAGGATTAAGCAGCAAAATACTCCTAGAGAAAAAAAAGAACGTGCTTTTTAGTTGTGCCTTGCTTGTGGGGTCTTCCTGCTTGTAATCACGAGTTTATGTGGAAGGAAACGTATTACATATCAACGACGGACAGGATGTGAATAAATACTTGATTTAAAAAAAAAAAAAAGGCTCAGCGTATAAATGTAGTCGGTGTATGTAAAATCAGGAAAACGGACTTATTTAATCTATGATATTCATCTAGCATGTAATGGATGTCCTGCCCGTATCTGTGCCCCAGCGCATGGATCTCTGCAACAGTGGCTCTTCAGCAGGCGGGAGCTCGGAAGCGTAATCTTTGGCATCGAAAAGTATTTTTACCTCCTCACTCATGGAGATGGAGACACTGAAGACCAAGACCGGCGAACCAGACTGGTTTTCGAGTCTACAAAGAATGAGGTGGTCTTTATATGCCGAGGAAAGGGGAAAAAAAAGAAAGCAAGTAGGCAGAGACTAAGAGATTATGAAATGGATATCGTTTCGATTTTTTGGCATTGCTTTTTTTTGGCTTGTGCTTCATGAGGTTGGGTGGGAGTCTATCACAGAAAGAGAACAGGCGGGATTCGTAGAGAAAAAAAACCTGACCCATTAAGTCGTCGATATTCCATTCATTTCGAGAGATAGGTAGGAAAACAGGAGTTTCTCTGAGGAGAAAAAGAAAAAATGAACTAAGGAACACAACTATATCCCTTACGTCCTTTTTTGGTCTTGAAACCAACTCCTCGAACACGGACCATCAAGCCACGGTTCCTATGCATCAAATTAGCCTCATTGAACATGTATATGCAGAATATATGTAGACCACAACGTACCATCAAATCAACCCGTCAACACCACCCGGTAGAAAAAAACCACATTGCTGCGGATGATTTAGCGCTGGCTGGCGGCAGTCCAGACGTTCTTGAGGTAGCCGTCACGCTGGGCGAGGCGGTTGAAGGAGTCATCGCTCTCGCCACGGGCACGGATGAAACCGCAAAGAGCGTAGGTCTGGTTCTCGCCGGTGTAGCGGCCGTTCTCGTCAACCTTGCCGACGGAGAGCTGGACAGAGGCGTGGTCGTTGGCCTTGATGATGCGGTTGGTGGCGCTGCACTTGCGGGGCACGTAGCTGTTGAGAGAGGAGGTTATGTTAGTTGTCTAGGTTCTTTTTTTGCGAGCGAATATGTTCCCCTCCAACACCCTGTTGTGTCCTGGTTTTTCTGGTGGCTCGGCAACGATCGCAATCACGCAGCGCTGAGGATTTTTTTTTCAATCCTCGCACTCTCCAATCACACCAGGTCCATCTCTTGGGTTTGGGATTGAGGTGGGATTGCTGATTGTATGCGACCACGCAGACACAGGACACAGGGTATATTGGGACTGGAAGAACGGGTGTAAAATCCATGGCACGTACAGATCGACGATCTCTCCCTTGTCGTTCTCCATTTTGGCGGGTTTGGTGTTGAGGTTTTGACGGGCGACGGTGAGGTTGGAGGTGGAGGGTTTTTCTGCCGCACATTAAATTGAAGACCTCAAATGATTTGTGTGGGTCATGTGACCCTTTATCGAGGGCTGGCGTGGCGAAAGTGGGGCAAGCGTGGATTTAGAGGGAACCATAGTAAGAGGCCGTGGCAATTTCAACTTCGGTTCACCCGTGGACAATCGATTGTTGGTACAGATGAACGGCTGATTGTAGTACTATGTATGGGTAAATGTGTTTACAGATAACTCTTTTCTCTTTCCTCCTGCAACACATCCTTCTTCCATCCCACAGCCACCTCTCGTGCACTTCCTTTCTTAAACCGCACGATAACCACTCTGTCGGGCTCTCCTCGCTTGGAAGATCCTTTCAGCTCAGGTCCGGGATCATTCAGACCCAACACGGAGCGCCCATCACCGGTCATGTGAATCATTTTTGGAGATATGCATTTCTCTGTCCATGGGGGAGAACCCGAATGGACGAAATCGACAAGCGCTTGACGACGGTTCTCTATCTCTTCCACAGAAGCACCTGTACGAGGCTCCTTGTCCAGGAATCCTGACACAAAATGCAAAAGAAGGAACTGCGGCGGGAAGAGAATGATATCTGCCTGTTGAGCACGACTAATCCACACCGAGGCTGGAAGAAACTGTGCCTCCGTAACCTCAATTCCACCATCACTCGTTGGGATCTCATGTTCCTCGCGTTCGCCCTCTGCTGGGAGTTGGTCGAGAAGGTTCTTATCCACCTTGACTGGCACAGGCAAGAAATAGAGGTACATCTGAGTAGTGTATCGCTTGGGAACATTGGTTGGCGTAACCCAGCGAGTAAAGGGAATTAATTTGCCTGTAAAGTCAGCGTGGTGGTCTCAGGTGTCAATTACACAAACTATGCACTTACCTATATCGGGCTCGGCATCAGCACTTTGCTGCTTTAGCCACTCATTAAAGGTGATCTTATTCTGGTGAATGAGTCGTCTTCCTGCCTCTCGGGTAGGCTCGTCGACAGCTAGCATCTTCCCGGTGTTCCGGTCTTTAGCTAGAAGAATTCCACTCTCTTCAAAAAGTTCCCTGATTGCTGCACATCGGTAGCTAGGGGAATCATCATGTCGTGCTAAGTCTTCGGGTGGTGGGCATTCCCCATCTTGGATGGATAGGTTACCACCAGGAAAGACATGGGCAGACGCAAAAGAGGTAGAGGTCTTCACGCGATGAAGAAGAAGGATCTCGTTCTTTGAAGACACAAGGAGCACGCTATAGAATAATTAGTTTTGGGTCTCTTTTTTTTTGGGATACCTCCCTTTGGATGACATCGCTCTGTAGATATCTATCATGTGGTCCCTTGCTGCTAGCTTACCTAGAACTGGGCCTGGGCACCGCAGGTTCACTACCACGTTTTGATCGAGACATCTGAGGAATTGAAGAAAATGTAGTTGTGTATTGTCTTAAAGCGAATTTACCGATTGGTTGCTGAAAGGACTGGACCGAGGCAATGTGAGGTGCACGAGCTGTTCGAAAGTCAACAGCAAAACGACTACTCAGTCGATGTGCTAAGTGACGACAAAGGTATTCTTGATGGATAAAGGACATCGTAAGATCTCGAAGCCGAAAAACGGCTTCTCGATGTTTATAGTAAAGGGCAAAGACCCGAGAGCCTAGGCAGTTGCTCGGGCAGTTCATTACCCCGCGTGCAGCTTAACCTTATCGAGCTTAGCCGAATGCGGCGCCATGTGGTCGGACAACCCCAAGGGCTTCCCTCAGGGTATCTACAAACCCTCAAGGGCTCTCTACGTGACGTTTACATTTGCAATATACTAAGAGAAATTAAACATGGTTGCTCATTAGAAATGGCGTAAATCTTCAAATCGTAAACTCCTATCCTGTACCCTTATTTTAATTTTCAAGGCCACATCATCCATCGGGGTTCACCCCGATGATGTATTCACAAAATTTTCCAGTCAACTCTTAGAAAGCTTTGATCTTACGAGTAAAGCTTCTTGTCGTAGCTGTGGAGACCGTGGACATTACCCTCGGTCATAGCGCTGGCACTACGCATCTCGAAACGCACGGTGCCGTTGTTGACACCGTCGTGCATAGCGGCCAGGCTCTTGACACCAATATCCTGCAGGGAGTGCTGGATACCGGCAAAGAGGTAAGGAATGAACTTGGTGACGGAACCGCGGTCAAGAACGGACCCAGCGACACCCTGCGCAACAAGGACGCGGTCCTTCTCGGAGAAGTAGCGAGCAGTACCAGCGTTGCTGGCCTTGCTGTCCTTTCCGTCACCACCAGCCTTCTTGTCCTCCATGGCGGCAATACTGCCCATGCCACGGTAGGCCTTGACGAGCTGGCCCTCATTACTGACGTAGTACTCACCGGGAGACTCGGTGGTACCGGCAAGGAGACCGCCCATCATGACGGTGCTAGCACCCATGGCCAGACCCTTGACGATGTGACCAATATTCTGAACACCACCATCGGCGATACAAGGAACACCGAAACGAGCGGCAAAGTTTGCAACGCTGCGCACGGAAGCAGCCTGGGGACGACCGACAGCCATAACCTCCTGGGTGATGCAGGCACTACCGCTGCCCATGCCAATTCTCAGGCCATCGACACCGGCGGCAATCAAAGCAGCAGCCTGCTCACGAGTGACGACGTTACCACCGATAACGTCGATCTCGGGCATGTTCTTCTTAATGTACTTGATCATCTCGATCTGGTACATAGAGTTACCCTGGCTAGAGTCCAGAATAACAATGTCCAGCCCAGCCTCGACGAGGAGCTTGAGGCGGGCCTTGTCCTCCTCGCGAGTACCAATAGCAGCGGCAGAAATGAGCTGCTTGGAGTCGGGGAGCTTAGAGGCCAGGGGGTAGTGGAGGTTCTTCATCAGATCAGAGCGAGAAAGCAGGGAGACGATGTTGCCATCGGCATCAATAATGGGGAGCTTTCCCTTCTTGGACTGACGGAGAACCTCGTTGGCCTCGGCCAGAGTGGTACCGGCCGGGGCAGTGACAAGATCCGTGGCCATGATGGCAGTCACGGGCTCGTTGTCATTGGAGTGGAACTGAATGTCACGCGAGGTGACCATTCCAACGAGCTTGGATTTGAGGGTTCCGTTCTCTATGGTCAAACATTAGCATTTGCTGTAAAAAGCTGATGTGAGGACAATATCCAAAATAGACAAATTGCTCAGATAAAATCTGGTTCTCTACAGTGCGACTTTCGTCGCTGCAGTGGAACGAAAGTTATAATTAAAGAAGTTTGTTCATCATGCAAAGTGGATGGGTAGGTGCTGGGAGGAGAAGTAGACGTGGGTATCTTACCAGTGACCGGGAAGCCACCAAAGCCCCATTTGGCCTTCAGCTCCTTGGCTTCACCAACGGTGGCCTTGGGAGAAAGGACAACGGGGTCCAGAATGAAACCGTTCTCGTATCTCTTAACCTTGCGGACCATCTCTGCCTGATCCTCGGGGGAGCAGTTGTGGTGGATAACACCCAGACCACCGAGTAGGGCCATGTGGATAGCCATGTTGTGCTCGGTGACTGTGTCCATGGGAGAGGACAGAAGGGGGGCCTTCAGGGAGATACGCTTGGTAACAGGGGTTTCCAAAGAGACATCGGAAGCGGGGAAACCTAGATGGGTTAGCAAAATGTAAGAATTTTCTTCTGGACTGGAAAGTTCGGCATACCGATGTAACCGGGCAGGATCAGGAAATCATTGTAGGTCAATGCACCGTGCTTGTCAGAGTCAAGCAGGGTGTCCGCATCAAGACCATCACGGGTCTTATAGGTCTCCAAGACCTCCATGGCCTTGGCGTGGTCGGTGATCTCAGCCTTCATGGCGGCACCAGGTGCTGCGTCACCAGCAGTGATAGGCATGATTATAGAAGGGGGGTTTAAAATAACGAGTGAGACACGGCCCGAGGGAAAATCTTAATCAACAGAAAGAAACGTTCTGCTGATGGAGAAAGTCGAGCTTTCCCAAGGAAGAGAAAGAAGAAGAAAAAGGTCGGGCGAAAAATTATGTCCTTTTCTGTTCCGTGCACGGCCAAGCCAGGATGGAGCTTGTCTGTTTCAGGTATAGTGTACTGGTTTTTTCACCGATATCGCTGCTGATTGGCTCGTAAACGAGATCCCTCAAGGCGGTGAGCTCGGGAGCTTGTTTATGCTTAGCTGTAGTTACATCGGTACTAGACTATGCAGATGGTGCTAAGATCTCGAGTGGAATATTATAACATTGTTAGATTTGATTCTGATATTCACTCATCTTATGAAAGATATTTTACCAATTAGTTGGACATAAATATCGAATGCCATGCAGCAAAGCTTTCAGAGTTGGTAGCGAAAGTCCAATGTCAGTTGGTTATGATTGTCAAAATGCCATTCTTGGTTCTTATATGTGTATAAAGCCATCACTTGAACCAAAATTTATGTTTTATTGACATGGTTGGCCGTGCAACGAGATAGCAATCTAGCCAGATACCGGCTTCAAGTCCCGTACGTTTACAGCACCATGACGACAAAACGATGAACAAATATGCTATACATAGTCTCTTAAAGATTGTTCAGCTTTATCCAATTCCCCATTAACGTCACTTTTGCTGTCAATATGGAGTCTTCTATGGGTGAACATGGCGCCTTCAAGCCTGCACCGTCGGCGCAGGCTCAGAAGAAACCCGGGTGAGTAATGCTTTACCCGAGTCAAATATTTATACTAAGATGGCGTGCTAGATTGGAGAGCATGATGGCAGAGGCTAGTGAATCGACCAAACTGGAAGGCTCCCACGGGTTTTCTGAATATGCCGGTTCCGGAAAGCTCAAGGGAAAAAATGCCCTAATCACTGGCGGAGAGTATGCATAGCAGGTTGGTTCACTGGAACAAAATCTTGGGTTAATCATTCCTTAGTTCTGGTATTGGACGATCTGTTGCTATTCTGATGGCCAGAGAGGGTGCGGATGTTACTATTGTTTATTTGCCCTCGGAACAGCCAGACGCAGAGGCAACCAAAAAGTCTGTTGAACAAGAGAAGCGGACTTGCCTTCTTATTCCAGCCGATTTGAGAGATCGCAACTTGTGTTGGCATGCAGTGAATGAACATGTGAAGAAGTCAGCCTAAAGTACCGTTCCCAATATCAGGAGATGACTGATCCCGCGAGTCTACAGATACGGCACCGTCAATATACTTGTCAACAATGCGTCGAAACAGTACCTATGTACGACATTTGAGGACATTGATCTGGATAAGACAGAAGACATATTCAGAGCCAATATCATCCAGATGATTGCAATAGCGAAGTTTGCTCTTCCTCATATGACCCGAGGAGATTCGTAGGTGCTTTCTGTCTAATCTATATGGTCATGTACTCACGCATTTGTTGCAGAATTATCAATACTTCTTCTGTTGTGACTTTCCGTGGGTCTGGGACCATGATTGATTATGCTGCAACGAAGGGAGCTATCATTGGTTTTACTAGGGCTTTAGCAACATACTTGATTCCCAAGGGTATTCGGGTCAATGCAGTCGCGTGAGGATCATGCATTCATCACTCTTTGGAAGTAGTAACTGACACGTTTGCAATGTTAGCCCAGGTGCGATCTATACCCCAATTCAAGTCGACACCCGAGATGCCCAACAGATGGAAGGATGGGGTCACAAAGCTGGTCTTGGCCGACCAGGCGAGCCGAGTGAGGTTGCGACAAGCTTCGTCTTCTTGGCTAGTGCGGATGCTTCTCTATACTGTGAGTGGTCAATATCCCACACCTTCAAATCGTTAGGATTTCCCCCCTATTGTGGCTAATATACTATAATCACATGTATAGATGGGCAAGTACTGCACTGCTACCCGCTTGGTGACTAGATAGTGTTATAGGGGGAGATATCTACTAGTGGGAGGTGTCGCTAGGACATCGTGCTGAGCGTGTGCTTGTCATTGGTATCAAATTGAAATTCAACAGGATATAAGATCAGTACAGGAGCCACGGTTTCGCTGAGGCGAGAGCGTTATCCCATCCCTCATCATTCTGCCAAATGGCGACACTTTCAACTTCCTCCCTGCCCAATTTGAGTCCATTGTAGAGATGCTAGACTTTATTTAGCAAATGTCAATTGTAGACTGACAAATTCAACTTACTGGGAAAAGTCCCTCGCCAGGTCGAGGACCAGACACTTTTCCGTCTGGGGACTCCCACCGGATATCTTGGATGACGCGGTGATACTCGATCCGCAATACATAGACAAGTGGTTCCTCCGTGAAAAATGTTTTCAGTGTGTCTCCCACCTGATGCACCGTCGAGAGGTGGATGAAACCAGACGCCTCGTCTAGTTCGCTTACCGCGAGCCGCTCAGGAAGTGGCTCGCGGACTGGTGCGGTGGAAGGCACAATCTTGTAGATGTAACGAGGCTGAGAAAGCAGCGAGGCCATGATGAAAGCGATAAGAAGAAGCAAATTAATTCACCGAGTCACTTGGTGATGACAGAAACAAAGTTCAGGTTCTCATGTGGTTTTATTGGCGGGGTCGGTTTAAGCGGCAACTTGCCTTTCGAACGCGGATGATTGCGCCATTTTTTGTACTTTTAGCCCTGAAATCATGTCTTAATTCGGCTTTCAGTGATATCTCTCAACTCATACCGAGCGTATGTGAATATTTCATTGTAGATCCATGGATGTCTTGCAACATCTCTTTAACACGAGATGACGAGGACTATTTATGTCATATCGAGTACGATCCATGCATATGCAACAATCGACGAATAGAGGTAAAGCCCTCGACTACCAGCTACGGAGTACATACATACTTATGCAGATCAATTGGCGGTCTACAACGGTCTACAACTTGGTGACTTGAAAGATGCGTTGGTCGCACGGGACTACGACCTGCCTAATTGCACAAGCCACCTTTGCCAAGACTGCAGGTATCCTGGTAGGCCAGATAATTAAGATTGGAGGGAATGTTCAGCATATCGAGCAATTTACGGAATACTATGAGCGACCTTTGCGATTTCGAATAACTGCAAATGAAAAGTAAGTAAGCGATCCATGCCCAGGGTGTGACTGGTCGAGTAACACAATCTCTTAGTTCTCTATTTCACGTGATTTGAGATCGACAAGCCACAATCACCTGATGGCGCTATACCCGATCTGGAGATTTGTTGTGCCCCCTGCGCCCACTTTGGGGAATCTTGGTCGCACTTGCACCCCCACCGTCAACAATTCCACATCGGGGATTCATGAGCCCAGAGCTTATCGACACATATCGACACAATTTGCGCATCTATTAATTGGATTTTCTTTGCTAAGTCGTGCGAGGTTGCCCTTGGATGCTATCCAACGAACGTGTCTCCGGAAAAGGTCTTGACCTTGTTTAACCTGCGCATTCCGCTTCGACCACCAGAGCAGGGATGCGGTCAAAGGAGCGCGACATTTTTCAATCCATTTTCGCATACCGCCCTGAGATTAAATGATGTCGACTCAATTTCCATCCCTCAAGCGGGCCCAGACGGACCTTCCCCCCAGTCCACCAGCCCATTACGACAAGGGTCGACAGCGTCCACGAACTCATCTGCATATTCCGTCGCTTCAAGTACATTTGCTCCTAGTCGGACTAGCACTGTCTCCTCTAATGCGTCAATATCACACAATTTGGGTCACTCCCGAGGGAAGAGTGAGGCGAGTAGTATGAGCTCAGCAACGACTGTTACAGACGCAATGGAACGAGGAAAGTGGACAAATGCTGGTACAGCCTACGACAATATTCGTCGATCTCTACGACCACTCCAACAAGCCCCTAATACATCATCCTCAACCGCGAATACTGGCGGGTATCGACATTCACGAAGCCAAACAATTGATGAATCACGCTCTTGGAAGGACCATAGACCCGCCACCCCCGAATCCCGTCATCTCAATCTTCAAGAGAATCAGTCTCCACGTTATCAAACACTCGACTACGAATCCCAGAGCCCCCAACCGCCGACCTCTCCTCGCCACTGGGCTACTGTGCCCGGAACATCGCGTCCTTCATCTCCCCAAAAGACAGTCTCTCACAGCTCTCATCCTCCGCAGCTGACTGCTGCACTCTCTGCACCCGACCTTGAAGGGTTGCAAAAATCATCTACGGGTCATCTCAGAACACTCTCGAAGTTTGCACAGTCTGGCGAAAACGAATTTGGCGCGGCTGCAGCGTCTGTGGTGGGTTTGCAAGGCCGACGACGCCTTAAGCGAGCGGGATCAGTAGCCGGAAGAAATGGAGCAGTATCTCCCGAAAAGCCGAAGGCGTCCTCATGGGCAGCCGGAAATTGGATGGACCAGCAGCGACAATTCATCCAAGCATACGAGTATTTGTGCCATATCGGAGAAGCCAAACAGTGGATTGAAGATGTCATTCAAAAGCAAATCCCGCCAATCGTTCAGCTGGAGGAAGGACTGCGAGACGGCGTCACTTTGGCGGAGGTGGTGCAAGCAATGTATGCGGGCAAAACCCTTCGCATTTTCCGACACCCCAAATTACAATATCGCCATTCAGACAACATCGCCTTGTTTTTCCGATTTCTCGATGAGATTGAGTTGCCAGAATTATTCCGATTCGAACTCATTGACTTGTATGAAAAGAAGAACCTTCCCAAGGTCATACACTGCATTCATGCGTTGTCATGGCTGCTCTTCAAAAATGGCATGCTGGACTTCCGCATGGGTAATTTGGTTGGTCAGCTCGAGTTTGAACATCACGAACTTGAGAAAACCCAAAAAGGACTGGACAAGGCCGGTGTGAGCATGCCTAGCTTTGCGGGTATGGCTGCAAACTTTGGCGCGGAGCCTGAACCCGAGCCTGTTGAAACGGAAGAAGATCGCATTGATCGAGAAATGCACGAAAACGAAACCTCAATCTGCGAGTTCCAGGCTCAGATCAGAGGGGCTATGTTGCGTTTACAGCTGGGCAACACGATGAACGACCTTTGGGACTTTGAACCCCTCCTCATTGAGCTACAGTCACGTCTTCGTGGAGATTGGGCCCGACAGATTAGTGAATACCGGCTAAGCATGCTCAAGTTTGCAGTTGGGCTGCAGGCCATTAGCCGAGGCTTCATTGTACGTCGCGGCCAACAAGGTGACAAGCAATGGCGGCAATCTCAGGAAACGGATGTTCTGGATCTACAGAGCCTGATTCGGGGCTCTAGGGCTCGCGCCCAGGCTAGTCACCTACAAACTCGCGTACGCCGAGAAGAGTCCGGCATCAAGCAGATCCAGGCCGCGATAAGAGGTGCATTGCAACGCATGAATGTTGGTGACCAATACGAACAGTCCCGACATGCTGAAAATGATGTGGAATCACTTCAAGCTTTCATCCGCGGCGCCTTGAAACGCAAACAGATGGATGCTCAATCCCACGAGCTGAAACAAGTGGGCACTTCTGTCAAGTCACTCCAGGCTGCCATCCGCGGTACCTTGCAACGAAGACACATGAATGCTCAGTCTCAAGAGGTGAAGCAGGTTGGCAGTTCCGTCAAGTCACTCCAAGCCGCCATCCGTGGTACCTTGCAACGAAGACAGATGAATACTCACTCCCACGAGGTGAAGCTAGTTGAAACACCCGTCAAGTCGCTGCAGGCGGTTATTCGAGGATCGATTGCCCGTCAAAACTTGTCTCAGATGAAGGTTCTGCTCAACAATGAAGCGTCCCAAATTATCTGTATTCAATCTACCATCAGGGCTCTGATTGCCAGAGAACGCCAAACCCTCCTGCTGGACGCACTAGAAGAAACCGAAAACGAGTGTGTTGCACTGCAAGCTATCGCGCGGGCTGCCGCTGTAAGAAAAAGCACTTCAGCCATTCGCACCGAGCTTGCGGAACATCTATTACCAGTGATCAACCTGCAGTCTATTCTCAGGGGACAAGCTTTGAGAGAATCATTGGATGCTCAGAGGACCGCATTGCTCGAGGAAGAGCCTTCTATCTTGGAACTCCAGTCCCGATCCCGTGGCGTCATTCACAGGAATTATCTACTTGCACAGCGAGATGAACTGGAGCAGGAGGAACATGCCATTGTTGATTTGCAGGCCCTTGCCCGTGCTGCTATCTCACGAATAGAGGTAGGCGATATATTGTCTCGCCTTGAGGAGAATGAGGAAGAAGTTGTTGAACTCCAGTCTTTAACTCGGGCAATGCTTGCGCGAATCGAAGTTGGTGAGATCCTCACTGATATTGAGGCAGAGGAGGACTTTATCACGGACTTCCAAGCACGGATCAGAGGACTCATTGTCTGCAACCGCTTCGAAGAAAGACGTCAACATTATAATGAAAACATGGAGAAAGTCATCAAGGCCCAGAGTGTTATCCGAGCGCGCATTCAAGGCCAGGCTTATAAGAGCCTGACAAGCGGAAAGAACCCGCCTGTTGGAACTGTCAAGGGCTTTGTGCATCTTCTCAATGACAGCGATTTCGACTTTGACGAAGAGATCGAGTTCGAGCGCCTGCGAAAGGTGGTTGTTCAACAAGTGCGACAGAACGAGCTTGCTGAACAATACATCAGTCAACTTGATATCAAGATTGCCCTCCTTGTCAAGAACAAAATTACACTGGATGAAGTCGTCAAGCATCAAAAGCACTTCGGTGGCCACATTGGCAACTTGCTATCCAACACCGAGATTTCTTCCAAGGATCCGTACGATCTCAAAGCTCTCAACAAGACCTCAAGGAGGAAGCTGGATCAGTATCAGGTGTTTTTCTTCCTTCTCCAAACCCAATCACAATACCTGGCTCGCTTGTTCCGGCGATTGCGCGAGATCAACACATCGGACAAGGAATATGAGCGGATCCGGCACTTGATGATGGGTCTCTTTGGATACTCCCAGAAACGACGCGAAGAGTATTACCTCATTAAGCTCCTGGCACGATCCGTCAAAGAGGATATTGAAAGCTTCACATCTCTTCCTGAATATTTGCGCTGCACCTCCTTCTGGAACAAGCTTTTCGCCTCATATGCCAAGTCATCACGCGACCGGAAGTTCATGCGCGACGTCTTGGGAGCTGTCGTAAAGGAGTCTGTGATCGACAACCCGGATCTTGATTTGGAGAGTGATCCGATTCAAATCTACCGTTCCGCAATCAACAACGAGGAGCTTCAAACGGGCCAGCGAAGCCGCCGACAACCGGATCTTCCCAGAGAAGAAGCAATCAGAGACCCTGAAACCAGAGAGACATTCATCCAACATTTGCAAGATCTTCGTGACATTGTTGACCAGTTGTTCTTGAGCTTTGAGGATTTCCTGTACCGTATGCCGTTCGGTATCAGATATCTCGCACAGCAAATGTATCAAAATTTACTCGAGAGATTCTCTGGCGAGGATCCAGGATTCATTCTTCAGACGGTCGGCCACTGGGTATGGAAAAATTACTTCCAGCCTGCTGTGCTGGAGCCAGAGAAGTATGGTGTGATCGATCGGGGCCTCACTCAGGAACAAAAGCGAAACCTTGGAGAAATTTCAAAGGTTGTTGCTCAGATTGCATCTGGCAGACTCTTCGGGGCGGAGAATGTTTATCTTCAGCCACTCAACAACTACATTGGAGAGTCAATCCAGCGCCTAGGGCGTATCTGGGGTCAGATGATCTCAGTCCAGGACGCAGAGGCTTATTTCGACATCGATGAATTCAACGACCTCTATGCCAAGGCCAAACCTACCCTGTACATTAAGATGTCTGACATCTTCTCAATCCACCAGCTTGTGGCCTCTGAGATTAACTATATGTGCCCACACCCTGATGACTTCCTCAAGGAACTTGTACGAGAACTTGGCAGTGTCAAGAGTAACGAGAACGAATTGATGGGGGTCAGCTCTACCGAGATCAATCTCACATTGAATCCCAAGCTGGCTCAGGTTGAAGGTAAGAAATGCAAGCAAGCCCCTACCTGTTCATTTTTCTAACTCTACCTCCCAGATCCCGAAGCAGATATGAAGACGCTCTTCATGGAGACTAAGCGCTGCATCCTCTACATCATCCGAGTCCAAAGTGGTGCCAACCTAATGGAAGTCATGCTCAAAACACCGACAGCCGAAGACGAGGAGCGGTGGCACACTTTGGTTCAAGAAGAACTGAACACCAACAACCCTCGCCGAGGGGCCTACTCCGAAGCCAATAGCTTAATTGACATTGGTGCCATGAGCTATTCTGAGCTCAAGGGAATTGCACTCGAAAATATCCTTCGGCTTGAACAGAATGGCAAGATCAATCGTCACAACCATTATCAGGATTTACTGAACGCCATCGCCATTGATATCCGCACCAAGCATCGTCGGAGAATTCAGCGAGAGCGTGAACTGGAGGGTGCTCGGCTGACCTCTCAGAGACTCAGTGGTCAAGCTGTCTACCTGGAGGGGCAGCTCAAGACATACAACGACTACATTGAGCAGGCAATGATCACGTTACAGAACAAGAAAGGAAAGAAGCGATTCCTGATGCCGTTCACCAAACAATGGGATCATCAACGAGAGCTGCAAAAAACTGGTAAGGTATTCAAATTTGGATCCTACAAATACTCTGCGCGTACTCTGGCGGACCGAGGTGTTCTGGTTGCCTGGAAGGGCTACGCCGAGCGGCAGTGGGATCGGGTCGACTTGACTATCTCAAGTAACGAAGTTGGTGTATTCACCATCGATGGGAGCAGCGGTGTGATGATGATTCCCGGCGCCAATGCACAGGTACCGCTGGACGACTTGCTGCAGGCTCAGTTCAACAACACGCAATTCATGGACTTCTTTGACGGCCAGATGCGGGTCAATGTCAACCTTTTCTTGCATTTGATCATGAAGAAGTTCTATAATGAGTGAGAGTCATGGCTTATGGACTTGATGAGGGATGAATTGGGTGCACATTCTTATTGATATTATTATTTCCTGTCTTTTTTTCTTTTTTTATTATTGTCTTTGTTTAAGATACCATGGGTATTTTGTTGATTTCGATAGCGATAGCGTTCGGTTTATACGGGCGAACATGTACACAGTATGATACCACTCAGTATCAATTGTAAAACAATTCAATTTTCCAGAAACCCCTTGAAGTAGAATAATCGTTTATTGTAGCCATTTGAAGTATACAAGACTTGGTCAGGGGTTGCCACGTGACGTGGCGCATTCAATCGGGTTGCCAGCTGGAAACCGGGCATCTTCCCCCCTCCAACTGTTCACATTAGTCCTGAGGGATTTCTGATTCTTCCTGTGCTCGGCTCCCAATTGCCTGTGCTTCTATTACCTTTTTTCTCGAATCCTCGTTTACCCGTACTCGTCTTGACTAGCAGTCACCACTCGCCATGGATTTCTCCAACCTCAAAGAGCAGGTCAGCAACATGACCTTGTATGATCTCAAGGCCGGTGTTCGCAAGGTACAGAATGGTAAGTTTAAATCCCGCTTGGTCCACGTGCGTTAGGAACAAAGACGAATCGTCCTGCGTGTTTTTTTTTACAATTTACGGAAACTGATTTGGCCGTTCCGTCATAGCTGTCATGAACTATACCGAGATGGAATCCAAGGTCCGTATGCAATCGCTCACCTCTGCGCGAACCAATATGGCCTCTCGCAGGTGAAGATGAGAAGATTATGCGATGAAATTCTTACACAAATCAGGTCCGGGAAGCTACAAACAATGAACCCTGGGGTGCCTCGACTACGTTGATGCAGGATATCGCCAATGGAACGCACAACTAGTCAGTCCATGTTGCCTGGTATTATCTGCACCAATGCGCATGCGCTGACCTTTCGTCATTACAGCCAATTACTCAATGAGATCATGCCCCTTATCTACAAGCGATTCACCGACAAAGCCGCAGAGGAATGGCGACAGATTTATAAAGTACGAGAAGCATTTATATATATGTCGGTGTGCTATAACTAACCCTGTCTTTCCCCCAAATTATAGAGTCTCCAGCTCCTCGAATTCCTTGTCAAGAACGGTTCCGAACGAGTCGTCGATGATGCACGATCCCACATGTCCTTGATTCGGATGCTCCGGCAGTTCCACTATATCGATATGAACGGCAAGGACCAGGGTATCAATGTGCGCAACCGGTCGTCCGAGCTAGTGAAATTGCTGGGTGATGTGGATCAGATTCGGACCGAAAGAAAGAAGGCCAAGAACAATCGCAACAAGTTTAGTGGTTTCGAAGGTGGCATGGGCACGGGCGTGTCCAGCTCGGGCTCAGGCCGTTATGGCGGCTTTGGCAGCGAGAGTATGGGGTACGGTGGATACAGCGGCGGTGTCTACGGTGACGGTGGCGGTTTTGGCGGGGAATCTGGTGGACAAGCTGGCGTCGACTTCCAGGACACCGGACGCCGGCCCAACCGATTCGAAGAATATGACGAGTATGACGAGGCAGATGCCCCCGCGCGCCCGCGCGAGCCTGCCACCCGGACGAAGCCCCAAGTAAAGAAGCCCGAGCCAGCCCCTGCGCCTGTAGCGGACCTCTTCGACTTTGGCGATGACGAGCCTGTTACTACCACAGCTTCCACTTCAGCCGGCAAGAAACCCGCCAACAGTGCTCTTAACATGCTAGACCCATCGCCAGTCGACGACGACGAGTTCGACGACTTCCAGTCCGCAACCCCGGCTACCCAGCCTACTCAGTCGTCAAGCCAGTTCGCCATTCCCCCTCCAGCTTCCACCGCCAGCACAAGTTCAAACACCCAATTCGTTGCGCCTCAGCCAATCTCGGCCTCGCAGGGTGCCAACATCAATGGCTTAGTTGGATTCAAATCGGCGACCCCGACTCCTTCTTCCAGCGGGATTGCCACTCCCCTTTCCCAGATGGCCCCGATTCAACAGCAGAAGCCCTCCGGATACCAAGCTGCCACACCCAACTACTTCACCTCCGTCCATGTGCCCCAACAATCTGGGTCCTCTCACGCTGCTAGTCCCTCCGTAGCTTCCCCCTCAAGCACAGCGAGCAAGCCAGCTTCAGCAGCAGCCAAAAAGCCCTCCGGCGACGCCTTCGGCTCGCTGTGGTCGACCGCCAGCGCCAGCGCCGGCATTCAGAAGTCCAACACCGGCACAAACAAGGGCCCTAACCTCGCCAGCATGGCCAAGGAAAAAGCCAGCGCTGGCATCTGGGGCGCCCCAGCTCCCTCCAGCGCCGTCTCCACGCCCAGCCAGCCTCAGCAGAAGCAACAGTCTAACTCAGCCTTCGATGATTTGCTTGGTTGATCAGCCAACAAGGGAATTCATCACCACTCCCCTTCTTCCCCCACCCTCCCTACTGAGTCCATGCTCGCTTCTTACATTTGCGATATGTGGCTATGATTTTAGCATTCAGAATTCAAGATTTGACTTGGTTTTTTCTTCTTCTTCTTTCTTTCGCTGTTCTTGTATACTCCATCCCATTACCATTTGCTCCCTTCTCCAGTTGGCTGCCCACCTAAGTATATCTGCACTATAGCAGAGTAAGTTGTGAAAATTTTGCTTTCATTCTCACGTAAAATTCTATTGTTCTTTGCGATTCCTTCGATACGCGTCCCAAAAGCCAGAAATCCCTTTTCTCAACGCATATTTGATGTTTTGCCAGTGGCTCTGAAAAGCGAACTGTCCATATTTCACTGAAAAATGATACATCGAGATGTGCTCTATTCATCGTATATATCTCTGAGCCTTGTTGCAGGTTTTGTTTACGGCAGTCTATGACCGCCAGTGCGCCACTTCAGACTTTCATATTGAATTTCGACCCCTCGTTGATACCTTTTTAGAGTCTTTCTAAAGTCTTTCAAGACATCTTCTTAGGTATTTTCTTAATAGCTTCATAGTCAGAGGGATAGGAAGAACTAACCGTAGAGTATAGAAAGTATAGTGATATAATAGATATAGAAACATAGGCCATAGAGCATTTAGGTATCGGATATTCATATGATTAAATATTAAGAATTCCACTTATATTTTCAACTTATATATAGAACTAGTGCATTCAAACATATGATGTGATCGGATTATAAACAATACTACAGCCCAAGTCTGAACTGGCGTACTAGCGATAATAGACTGCCGTAGTTTTGGCTCATGTTAAGTCGGCAGTACTACATTAACACTTCGTGTAGACATATTTATCTGAGCTAAATGGAATGTATCATATGATAAGTAATTGAATAGATTTGAATCGGCATTATGCTGATGCTCATTGATGCTGGTATAACGCCTGCGCTGAAGGGAACTAAATACAGGTGAGGGAAGATGGGGGGTTAGTAAGAGGCATTGTGAGACGGGAATACAGAACAGATAAGGCGACAATATGGCGAAAGACTTGGGGTATGTAGTAAAAGAAAGATCCTCGATCCTCTTCAGTCCCAGGTTATGACTCCCCAACGTGCATAATTAGAAGACATGAATTGGAATTGTGAAGGAGGGATTGATATACGTTAATAAAGAGGAACTTGCGGTGGGTAATAATTCATCGCGGGGGGATGGGTTGAACATAAGGCTGGAAAGAAAGGTGTGGGTTTATATCTGACGAAACCATCCGAAGGGAAGGTTTGAAGAAAAAGACCTTTTGACATGGAGATCCGAGAGGTCTCGGAGATTAGGTGGCCCGGGGTTGGGTGATCCACCAAGGGGGTGCTAATTGAGTGTTCATGAAACAACTCACAGAGCAAGCCAACTGCGGGTTTCATGCCTGAGACCTCCCCAGTCACTGACGGGAAAGTGGAGAGTGCCAAGCTTTGTTGATCGGCTGTCAGGGTTTCGTGGCGGGTACAACTTGAAACATACAGGCCATCTCTCCAGGTGATACGGGCACGGATCACCGCCAAGATCTTGCATGAATCGAACAAAGCCATTCAGGGCTGAGATCAGGTCTTGGTCAGCGTACTAGAGCGCTTGTCGGCGCTTTCCGCCGCTTTACCGCTCGAGATCCCGGTCTCCGACGCAGATTGAGATGCATCCGTGCCTTCTGTCGAGACTGCAGCTAAGGCATTGCCGTTGGTGGCTTTGTTTTCAGACTGAGCATCCACGTCAAATGAAGACTGCTCTACCTGGGTAGGCGTAGATATTTGATCAGACCTGGTGGAGTCTAGACTGATGTCTGCGGTACCGGTGACCTCAGGGTTCGGTTCCCCATTCAACGACGTCAAACCTCCTTCGATGTCTCGCAGAAGACGCACAAACTCCTCCGGGACAAGACCATTCTCCCCTGTCTTGGGATCTTCGGCCACCAGCCAGCCCTGACCATGCCGGTATGAAACATAAATCACTTGGCCCTCGGTAAGAGGCAGTTCGTTCTCATGCTCTCGTGTGAAGTCAAAGAGTGCAACAGCTTTTCCATGCATCTCTTCATCCGGGCAGCCAACGGCAAACTGATAGTCTCTAGAGTATCGATTTCCACCGGGGATTTCATCTTCGGACTCAAAGCCAAGGTCGTGTTCATGGCCCTGCTGACCGCCCTGGGCGCTGTATCCCATGATTGAATACCGCCCTTCATTTGCCGGATATGTCACGTACTCACCACCTGGTCCATCATCTGACATGTCTCCATCATTTACATAATAAGTCTCACTGCCATCGGCGTTAATGCCAATGAGCATTCCGCGATCGTTGTTCCCCGCATGCCCGGTTCCGGACATGACTCTCTCATCTACAAGACCATTCATGTCAGAAGACTTTTTGCGATGACGCGAGGTCACAACTGGGCTATGCAGGTCTTCATCCTCGCTGTATGGTGGTCCATCCCCAAAGGACATGGCTGGCAACTGTTGGTGGACATGGCTAATCTGCGATTCTGTGCTCGATTGGCCTGTTGACCATCCCCGAGATATATCCCACGAAGGTGGTGGATCGGAGAGGCGTCGATGTTCACTTGCCGGTGTGGAGACCCCGGAGGCGCGAGGAGGAGGAGGCCCGTAATGGAGAGGGTGGGTGGAGGGGTAGGCGAAGTCTCGCACAAGAGCATATGGAAGGCTGGTATGGAAAATAGGGAAGACATGGGAGCCTGGGCGCGAACGATTTTGGGATGCTAGCGAGACATTGGAATACGTGGAGAGCCGATCCTTCGGAAGCGTCGATGACCGTTTCACCGTCCCATCTGTGAGGATGGGTGGTAGCACCGAGAGATTGTTTGTGGACAGAATGTTCTGTGATGATGTGGGAGAGGACATCATGGTTGACATGGAGAAAGACCCAGAATTGGGTTCGGAATGAGGAATAACGGGGCGGATCTCAGTAAGGGAAATGTGGGGTTGTTCATCGGTCGCGTGGTTGGCGCTCTAGTTTCGCATTGCGATTGATGCAGTCCAGATTATTGAAATTTGCAGTCGCAGACAGCGGGTGTTCCTTCGGTTCGAACAAGGGAGGTATATCTTGTGATCGGAGATCGAGATATCGAGTTCAGGTACGATGCAGCAAGCGCTAAGTCGTAAGGGGGCCAAAAATGATTTTGGGTTCGTGTGATTCAAACTAGGGGCATCCCTTGGATGTCAAGCTTTTGGAGCAAAAAGGAAAAAAAAGGATATTATTCCCAAGGGGCTCCGGTTTGGTGGACGGTGAATGGGTGGGTAGTCGGCAAACAACACGAGGGAGGGGGGGGCAAATGTGGCCCGAGTGGAACGCCGAACCGCGACGGGGAAGATATCACGACAAGAAGACAATATCAACAATCGGGAAAAAGCCTCCGAATTTGCAAGGTTTGCGTGGTAGAATATCCGTTCAAGGTGAGATTGGCGAAATCGAGACCGTTGTTCTAGCCGTTTGTTCCGCGATCTCGAGGGGAGGGAATTACTAAATATAGCTGAAAACTGCAAAGGGTCAATGTCAGATACAAGTGTAACGGAGGCACAGCGCTTATGCGGGAAAGAATGTGTAGACCGCACGGGGACAAGGATTAGGTCAAGGCCACATGGGATATGGGAAATTTGAGGAGAGATAGACTTGTGAGTGAACGGAGATTGCCATACCTGTCTAGGTTGTAGGTTAAACTGGAGTAATGATCAGCGCGTAGGTGGGTTTGGGATCGGGGGCGCAGTTGGTTGTTAGATAATGTGATTTATCGAGATGAACTGTAGCAGGAAGCAGTAGGAATCAGCCGATATGCAAGCTGCTCAAGAGTCACAGAGTCGGCCGTGTGTGAATGGGTGAAGCTTGAACCAGTCGAGGGTCACGTGCAACCCGACCTTAGCGTGTTTCAAGTGTGGTTTCGTCTATTCCTGTTTGGGACTTAAGGTCCATGGGTTTTATATGGGATTGTTGGTTGTACGCCTTATATATATCTGATTTACAACGGGATACTCAGTCTACAGTACATATGTAGAACAAAGAGATTGTCATTTCATTCAGATTTTCAGTTGCATTGTCCTATCTTGGATGTTTTGGTCTTTCAACCCTATTTTAAGTGGGTTGACTCCCCGCCATAAATACAGTGCTCGTGCTGATCACCCAGTCTGTCACTGTGACTGTTTTGGGTTCAACTCCTGCTGTAGCTAGTGAAGTAACAAACGTGGTTGGCTGAGAGGATATCGGACGGCCGAGTGCATCGAACTGCGAAGGGATTGCGGCATTGTTGAGATCCTGGCCACTCTCATAGTCGCTCTTGATTGCCTGCTTGCTGACCATGTTCACCATATCCACATCCATACAAGTTGTGTAGATCTCGGCCTTTCCATTGGGATATGTGGGATCAATATCCGCAGCGGTAGGCCAGTCCCACACCCAATAGAGTGTGTACGGTTTCCCACTGGGGGCATCGGAAGGTAGTTGAATATCTTGCTGGCACCAGAGGTCTGCTCCCATCCGTGGGTCTGATGTGTGGGTATACTTCGTTTGTCGAGTCCCTGAAATCTCCCCCGAATTAACCTGGTAGCAACGCCCGTCGTCGTAGTTCTGTACTGACAGGAGCACCCCGCGCCCATCGCCTCCAGTGCCATCTTGGGTCCAGGCTCCATGAACATCAAGGAAGTTCTCGCCTGTCTTGGGTTGTGTGGTGCCATACACATAAACGGTTCCCCGGTTCGCGGGCTTTCCGGGCTGGGTCTGAGGAAGTGTAACATGGCCATTCTCCTGGAAGCGGAGGGCAATCGCCGCGCCGGCGCTGGCTTGAAGCCGAGGGCTTCCCTTTGACTGAGTCTGGTCCTGCTGGGTATCCTTGCACATTTTGTCGGTTGGTAGAATCTGAGTCACATTTGCCCTTGTGGTGGGTGGAATCGAGTAAGTCATTGTAGTGTCGCTAAAGTCCGATGTCGTGCGTAGGTAGTTCCCTCGGGCATATCCTGGTGTGCCGACGAAGGTTCCATTTGGAGCAATGAGTGTGAGCTCTTCCACCCAAGAATGAGCGTGTGTTGGGTTGTACAGAGCAAAGAGCACTATCAATACGATGATCAACATCGTGATAGTGGTTCTGGAAATGTAAGATTCAAAGCCAAAGGCTGTAAAAATGAGATTTTGTGGACTTGAAAAGGACGGCGGCCGGCGGCGTCAACTCGAGTAGGTATTGCAGTATTGCTTTTCTTTGAGCATAGAGATATGGAGCAGAGGTGAGGCTGCTCAAGCTGGAAGTGCCGTATTTATTGAGTCTAGGATATCGATAAAGCGGCCAGGTCGAAGGCAGCAACAATGGGCTTTGTCGAGGTGAATGGGGTCATTAGGATGATTGATCTGTGACAATAGGTGTGAATAGACAATGGGTTGTTAGTCCAAACACCACCAGGCCACCACGGAAATAAGGATAGGAAAAGGTTTCAAGGGAATCTGTTACACATAAAGAAACCATTGTCTGACTTCGAGTCTTCGCGTCTAATTGGAGAGGCTCCAATCCTGATACCAAACCGGCTTACCATCAAAATTGTTAATAGGCCGAGATACAAGCCCAATGCTCTTGCCGTCTTCTGGACAAAGCAGGGAATGATTGGGTGTGAGGGCTCAGTCCTCGGGAGATATTTAAAGTCACGGAATATTTTGAGACATGCTTGGTTCCGCTCCTGGCGCGTAGCCGTGATATTTGCATGAATCTAGGTGTTGTATCTTCCAAGCTTGCAAGTATGTTGCGAATCTGCAGGTCCGTTGGCTCAGTAAGCACGCTTATTGGCTGATCTGGGGGCCCCTGGGCGCTTCGCCGTCGGAGTCGAAATTAACAAAAGAAACCCCCTTGAATCTCTGAAGGAAAAGGTAAAACAAAGAAGACCTCTTTAGCGCTTTAATTTCCTGAAGATTGTTCTGTTTGCATTTTCTTACCTGATCACCCACTGTAGAGGCCCTAACAGAACCTTGGACAGAATACATAAATGACACCTCTGATTTTGAAGAAGTTAAAGATTTGTCACAAAAAATAATTAGACCTAACGCCCAGCCTAGTTTCTCCGTCTCATCTGAGATACTGGCTTTTGGTCGCCATAGTCGCTGCCCAAGGCTTCTAACAAATGGTTTTGCTATATAAGAACGGCCCTGTTCCCTAAGCACATATTCGGTACTAGGTACTATTGAATTGATAAAATGACCATGATTGCCACTCCTCAGATTCCGATGTACGTAAAGTAACTTTTATAGCATTATTTTGGGAGTCATCTCAATTGTACCGACTCGATGGATTTTATGCAGCAGTAGTTAGGACTACACATCCTATGCGAGAAACCACTAACACGCAGCTAAGTGACTCGCTTGGTATTTATGGGACTCCTTTTAGCCCATGGGAGATACTATAATGTGAAGCAATCCGTCCTATTGGCTTGTTACTGCAATATAGTCTCACCTATACGATGAGGGACCAGACCTATGAATCCAGACTCTAAAGCACCATGCAACTCTTCTCTGACGAGATGTATGGATCTGTTTGTCCAAGTGAAAAATGCGAGGGTCCCCGAAGCGAGGAGTTGATAGGGTGATAATCTCTGGGGTGTTGATGATCTAGATCGAAGACGTTGGTTTTCAGGGTCATCCTGGTACCAAGTTACATTTTCGTGATTTCGTCTAGAGGTCCTACGCCAGAAAAGCCCCACGGAAGTACACTCACTGGTTTCGATAGACGAGGTTTAGAAACGCAAGCACCATTTTCAGATTATTAATCGTCGGTAGAATCTCCACGACACGAGATAACATGACGGGAACGCGTCAGGGATTAGGGACGAGGAGCATCGGAGACGATTCTAGAACTAGACGGAACGGAATTAACCTCGTCCTAGGAAAGGGAGTTGTTTAGTATTATCATAGGGGAAAGTGGTAATGAGGACTCCCCAGCGCCCCTAGGTGCCTATCCTACCCTGTCTGGCAGAGGGCAATCAATTTTCCGAGGCCTCTTCCACTCCCCACAGCAACCTATCAACTCCACGTTAAGTGGCTAGTCACATAGCTAAAGTCCCTCGTCCACTAGGTAAATAGCCTACTGAACGTGGTTGCATTCACAGCCCTAATGCACCTATCTAAGCAGATGAAATCGACTTTACTCTTCATTGCTTGCACTGCAGTGGAGATAGTGACATATCCACCTGTATAATACATACCGGTATACTTCCAGTTCTACGAGAATCCTCTTAATCACCTCATATAAGATTATGCTATGCAGTTTACGGTAAAACAATTTCCAATAGTATTCGGTTGGTATTCCCATCCCAGACCCTAGACAGCTAGGGTAACTCCAAGTATCTCATAGACCGCCTTAATGTGTGCTGCTGGGGAAGGATGGTTATCGTTTAACATCCTGTTCATGGTATACGCGATTGTGAGCTTCCAATCGCTATCCATAACCACGATCGAACCACCCCATCCGCTACCCCATCCAACACTGCCCTTCGGCAACTTGCCTTCGATGACTCCCGACCCATTCATGGATCGCTAAATAGTCTGTGATACTCAATAGGATTCTGAGATAAAGCGGCGACACCCCGATCAGGAAATTGGCACCCGCGGCCTAGAATCCATACTGTTACCTATGTACTCAATTGTCAAAACTCACACCAGCCCGGCTATTCTCCATGAACTTGAGATTATATTATGTGACGACTTGTGCATTCAGGTAACCTTTGCTATTATTCAGAAATTGAGGCCGCTATAAAGCCCCCTGAAGCTGCCGATGGCCTTATTCTGGTGTTGCTGTACTTCGATGTGTGTTTCGAAAGGTAAGGTTCCTTTATATGCTTACATCGTTAGCTTAAAGGATTCACTGGGATGACTCTTAGACCATCCATAACTGGTGCCATCTTCGTTAAAATTTATGAGCGTATGGCGTGTGCCGCAGGCGGAGCCTGATATTGTGGTCTACTTACACGATTAAGAACACTTCGATCAAAATACCCCCGATGCTAGGACAATGGAACGAATCCTCGACAACTTTGGAGATTTCGCACGTAGAACATTCCTAATATCATCCCCGCCGTCGACATATCGGGATATGCCGTCCTTGATGCGTTGACGGAGGAGCAATATGGAACGAGATGAGATAAGAACGATGCAGCTCGATGCGGTTGTAAATAGAATCTAAGGCAATGGAGGAGCCAAAATCATTCTGTATCTGTAGCAGTCACGAGCGCTGTGAAAGATGCATGCGCAGTAAGCAGTCACTGGGGCCTGCAAGGATGCCTCAAGTGTGCCCTCCCCCCTCCCCCCTCGGCGCCCGGGCGGGACTGCGGGCTTATATAATGCCTAGTGAGTGACCACCTACATCCAGACATACCTACCTAGGTAGGTATACAATTGCAGTCAGGGAGGTGCTCCCCGGGGTCGCTGGCTAGCGGTATCTAGTTTTACTGATCAAAAAAGCAGCAAGAGGTAATCACTAAAGACGGGATAGGAAGGCCACCTGAGACATTTAGGTAAGGAGATAAGAAGTTCTGCAAAGTCCCAGCCGAGTTACCAAAATACTTGGGGTTCACCGAGTAAACGATCTTATCTTTTTCCTTTTTCGCTTGGCAAGCTCGGTTACCGAGTTTATTATGGATACATGGAGTCTGCACCGGGTGAATCCGAGAAGATGATTTGACTCAGAGTTATCAGATTTCTCCCGAGCTCCACCAGGTGGATTCCACACTGGCAGAGGAATTGAGTGGACTCTTTTCTGACGCAGATTAGATGCCGACTACGGAGTATCTCTTTCGATTTTCCTCTTTAAGGGCATTGTGTGGCTGACGTGGACAAAACCTCCGTATACTTTGTACAGAGCTAAGTAATAGGACGAAACAGGTGGAGCCTTTGTTGATCGTACCTTTTTGTACGTAAATATGTCAAGCTCAGACAAGTAGAATATTAGAGAAATATTATTTAAACGTCAAGATTTGAAACATAGGCAAGATGTAGTTCAAGATTATATCTCATGACCATAGTTCAAAGGATCGACATGCATAAATCAAGATAAAGAAATGCCTGTGCTCCAGATTCTTTGGGTTGTTGAGGTATTTAGTTGCCACTACAAATTTCCTCTAAAAGGTCTGTACTGCCTATACTAGACTTGAATACTTTTATAAATAGTTATTCCTCAATATTGCTACTAGCACATCTACTAGTACATCTATGTCCAAGCCATTATGTGCAGGTTCTGTATAAAATGTTGGAGCCTGGATCTCTAGGTAATCCTAGGTAACCCCCAAAATCCCCCAAATGTCAGCTTGGCTCGGGGATCTTATTATTGTTCTGTCCATTCTTCTTAATCCCGTCTATCATTTTCTTTGTTATAAAATACCTAATAAATTACTCCGTACCTCGCAAGAAACCCGAGCAAATCCCCACTGCTGGCTTGGCGTCGGCGTTACTTAATTCCAGCGGTCTCGGGCAACTATTATTTTACTTCAGGGGGGGGCCCTTACTTTTTTCCCTTTTACCTCCAATTCCAAGGGCTGTGCCTTGAGCTTCTCGACTTCTTCCCTCGGTAGGTGCTATCTTATCTAATATTGGTGAATCTAACTAATGGAAAAAAAAACAACAGCCCGGAAACTGCCCAGTCCCTAAACAACTTGTACAGCCCCCATGCGGTCATAGGATTGGATCGCAATTCAAGATTTCCTTCCTCCGCATTGGTTTTGGTGTAAAACATCATCCCACGACGGCTTTCCTCACAGGTTCTGGTCCTTGCGGACCGTCTTAAAAACCCCCTCAACGCCTTCAACAGACGTCCTCACCGCCTCCTTCGCGACCCGTCACCATGGCTACCTCATTTATCTCTAAACGCCTTCGCTCAACCGAGGAAGAGCGCGAAACTCAACCTAGCTGGATCCGGCGCCAGATTGTGTCCGGCCTCCAGTCCATCTCTCGCCGGGCCTGTGTGCACCCTATTCACACACTCGTGGTGATTGCAATCCTTGCCAGCACCACTTACGTGGGTCTCCTCGAAGGTAGCCTGCTTGATACAACAAAAGACCCGCGAAGTGTCGCGGGACAGGTTGATGCCGATGCCCTGCTCCAGGGAAGCCGCAATCTGCGCCTCGGAGAATCAACTTCGTGGAAGTGGCAGGCGGAAGACGCCTGGACTGACACCCAGGTGAGCCCACTCCCCCTCCCCCTTTCCTTTCTTCTTGGGCGCCAAGAAAGAAATACTGACCCTATGAAATATTAGACCGAGCAGCCTGTTGCCCAGCACCTGGCTCTGACGACACTTATCTTTCCTGATTCCACCAATTCTGATTCAACTGCCCCGGCAGCTGATGATGTCCCGATCCCCGTTAATATCTCCGCCAACTCGGTGCCGTACACCCCAAACCTCTTCTCGCAATTTACCCATGACGCTTCCCTGGTTTACACCGTGCCTTTTGACCAAGTCTCGGAACTTTTGAGGGCCGTGCAGGAGATCCCCACCCCATCTACGGATGAGGATGAGGAGGAATCCAAGAAATGGATCATGCGAGCTGCTCGTGGCCCAGCCCACGGATCCCGCAGGGCTGTAAAGCTTTGGGTTGCAGATGCATGGAATTCTCTTGTGGATCTGATCAAGCACGCGGAAACCATTGACATTGTTATCATGGCTCTCGGCTACCTCTCGATGCACCTGAGCTTCGTCTCACTTTTCTTCTCGATGCGACGATTGGGCTCGAACTTTTGGCTTGCGGCTACCGTGCTCCTTTCTGGCACCTTTGCATTCCTTTTTGGCCTACACGTGACTACTAAACTTGGTGTGCCTATCAACCTCCTCCTACTGTCCGAAGGTCTCCCATTCTTGGTTGTTACCATTGGCTTCGAGAAACCGATTATGTTCACTCGGGCCGTTCTGAAAGCTTCTGTGGACAATCGCCGACCCCGTCCCGGTGCTGCCCCTCGCCCGTTGGCATCGAGCACACCGAGATCCATTCAGGACTCTATTGGAGCTGCGATCAAAGACCAAGGTTTCGAGATTGTTCAGCACTACTGCATTGAGATTGGTCTGTTGGCTTTGGGTGCTGCCTCTGGCGTTCAGGGTGGACTCCAGCAATTCTGCTTCCTCGCAGCCTTGATCTTGTTCTTTGACTGCGTGCTTCTCTTCACCTTCTACACCACTATTCTCTGTATCAAGCTCGAGATCACTCGGATCAAGCGTCACGTGACGCTACGCAAGGCTTTGGAAGAAGATGGAATTACCCACAGTGTTGCCGAGAATGTCGCTTCTAGCAATGACTGGCCTAGCGCCGGATCTGGCGAGGCAGACACCAGCATCTTTGGTCGCAAGATCAAGTCTAGCAACGTGCGCCGGTTCAAGATTCTCATGGTTGGTGGTCTAATCTTGATCAATGTTGTGAACATGTCAGCCATTCCTTTCCGGAACACCGGCAACGGTGGCTTGCTCTCCCGTTTCTCCAGCGTCTTGTCTCCTACCCCCATTGATCCTTTCAAGGTGGCAGAGAATGGCCTGGACAGTGTGTATGTGACCGCCAAGAGCCAGAAGCAGGAGACTATTGTTACCATTCTTTCGCCGATCAAGTACAAGTTGGAGTACCCCTCCATTCACTACGCAGCCCCTACCGCTTCTGGTTCGTTTGAAATCGAGTACACCGATCAGTTCTTGGATGCCGTGGGTGGCAAGGTTCTCGAAAGTCTGCTCAAGAGCGTCGAAGACCCTATCATCAGCAAGTGGATCATCGCTGCCTTGACTCTTAGCATCATTCTTAACGGCTATCTTTTCAATGCTGCCCGTTGGAGTATTAAGGACCCCGAGACTGCCCCCGCACCTCCTACGGAGCCTGTGGTCGCACCGAAGGTCTACCCCAAGTTTGAGCCAAATGAGCAACAGTCAACCAGAACTCCGGAAGAATGCGAGGCTCTGCTCAAGGAAAAGCGTGCACCCATGCTTACTGATGAGGAATTGATCGATCTTTCTCTCAGCGGAAAGCTTCCGGGCTACGCACTGGAGAAGACCATGGAGGACGAGAACTTGATGAGTCGTGTTGATGCCTTTACTCGTGCTGTGAAGATCCGCAGATCTGTGGTCTCCCGGACTCCTGCTACCGCTGCTATCACTTCCGTTTTGGAAAACTCCAAGCTCCCATACAAGGATTACAACTATGGCCTTGTCCACGGTGCTTGCTGTGAAAACGTTATTGGTTACTTGCCCCTTCCTCTTGGTGTCGCTGGTCCTATCAACATCGATGGACAAAACTACTTTATTCCCATGGCCACTACCGAAGGCGTCTTGGTAGCTAGCACAAGTCGTGGATCCAAGGCAATCAACGCCGGTGGTGGTGCAGTGACTGTCCTGACTGGTGATGGTATGACCCGCGGTCCTTGTGTAACTTTCCCAACCTTGGCCCGGGCTGCCGCTGCTAAGGTTTGGATCGATTCCGAAGAAGGCCGGAGTATCATGACCACGGCTTTCAACTCGACTAGTCGCTTTGCCCGTCTCCAGAGTATCAAGACTGCTCTTGCCGGAACCTACCTATACATCCGCTTCAAGACCACCACTGGTGATGCCATGGGTATGAACATGATCTCCAAGGGCTGTGAGAAGGCGCTGGACGTCATGCACAAAGAGTGTGGCTTCGAGGACATGTCCATCATCTCGCTTTCCGGTAACTTCTGCAC